GCAATTCTGGTTATTTTAGTAGATTGGTTATGCCAAGGTTGAACTTCTAAAGGATATTGTGGAATATTTGGAAAAAAAAAAATTTAAATGCTAAAAATTATGCTTTTGAGGAATAATATAATTATTTTCTTTGAGATGTACCTGATGATTCATTATGGTTCCTTCCAATTCTTTGGTCATGAGGGGGCCTGGATGAGAATTGCTGTGTAGGCCAGAAGCAAAGCTAACCCACCAGTTATAGTTTTGGTAGTTTTTTGGTTTAGTTTTTTATGGCTAAAGAGTATATACAGGAGTAAAAAGACGGGTACCAAATTTGTATTACATATAGAAAGTTCATAAAATATCACTTAATTTGCTGCCTCTCAACGAAAAGCATAGATTGACATAATATTCCTTCCTTAGCTTTTAGTAAGTGATAATGCTGATTTTATTAAGCTTTTTTTTTTTTTTTCAAATACCTGTAAAGGGAGAGGACTTCACTCTAAGTGATTTGTGCAGCTTCTAACATCTTTATTCTGAATATATTGTCTCTTGGTGGGGTAAGTACTTTGTTTGGCTCGTCAATAGGTGTTTTGTGACTTGAGTATAATGCTCAAGTCCATTAAAGGATCAAGCTTCGAGGACTACATAACCATTAAAGCTTAATTGCTTTTGGCATGAAGCTCTTTACATTAGATAACAAGATTCTTACTATGGTCCAAATTCTTTTCCATAGTTAAACTAGTGTGTATGTAAGCGTGTGTGTGTGTGTGTGTGCATGCGCAAGTAACAGCTTGCACAGGGCTGTTTCTCCCCATAGGACCTTTGGGGAATAGGGTCCTATGCAAAGAAAAAAGTAAGGCATCAACACTCATTCTACAAATCTCAACCCTGCAAACATCCAACTGTGAAAAGATGACAGAGATGTCCAGCTGAGCCCAGGTGCCATTCGCTTTCTGTGTTTATTCCTGTCCATGTGCAGCCAGGATTTCTGGTGAACTGGTGAACTGGACCTGAGGGAGAAGCACTCCTCTGATTCTCAAGAGAGGAAATCACTGAGCCGTTGATCGTATTCAGTGTGCTGAGATTTATGCTGCTCATCATTTCAGTGTCAGTATAAGAGGAGTTGCCTTCAATGACTGCCTTTGCTATTTCGTCTCTGAAGAGCAGGTCCAAGATTACACTTGCCAAGGTACCTATCCACTCAAGAATACATTTGTGGAAAAGCCCTTCCTTTTCCCTACGACTTAATCCTACCAAAAACAAGCAAACCAACCATCATCAGAAGATAGATAAAGAAAGATGGGGAGTTGACAGGTGAAAGGTCATGAAACTGAAGAATGCTGGGAGATTGGAACCCACTCCTTGTTATTTTTTCCTCTATAAAGACTTGTAACATTAGCTCTAGCAGGTTATATGAGTGTTAGTGGGAAAAGGATACAGAAGAAAGGGTGTATTCGTTTGTTTGGGCTGCCATAGCCAAGTAACACAGATTGGGTGGCTTAAACAACAGAAATTTATTTTCTCACAGTTCTAGAGTCTAGAAATCTGAGGTGTTGGCAGGGTTGCTTTCTTCTGAGTCCTCTCCTCGGCTTGCAGATGGGCATCTTCTCCCTGTGTCTTCACATGATCTTCCCTCAATGCATGTCTGTGTCCTAATCTTATAGGGACACCAGTCATATTGAATTAGGGCCAACTTCACTGACCTAATTTTAACTCAATTACCCTCTAAAGACTGTCTCTCCAAATGCAGTCACATTCTGGGTACCAGGCCTTAGGACTTCAACATATGAGTTTTGAGTGGATACAATTCAGCCCATAACAGAAGGCAAGTATTCAGAGCAGATAATTATAGATTATCAACAATCACAAAGAAGTCCAGAAACAAAAGATCCGGGCAACTTGGGATCATTTTCATAAGACACTCATACTAGTTTTGTTTCAGCTGCATTCACCAGCAATTTCCCCAGGGATGACGTCACAGGATTTACAAGATAGTAAAGAAGATGGATGACATATCGAGGACTTTGTCCTAGAGCTTTGTTTCTGGAGATTCCCCTAATGCCTAACACTACTATTTTTAATAATGAAAACAATGGTGTTTTTCCAAAGAATTTTTAGTCATTGCTTCTTGTGCGAGCTTTTTTGGCTTCCCAATTCTCTTTACGTTTAGTAGTATTTTCTTTCCTGATCGTTACGTGTGGCCTCCATACAATAGTAGTACAAGCCTACTCCATCCTTGGTATTCATTCATGTTAAAAACAAAAACTGTAATTTCGAAACAATTGGTACTGAGAATTAGAGTCTAAGCAAAAAACTAGTGAAACGTGGAAAGTCTTTGCTGTAAACTAGCAGGAATTATGAAAATGAACCCTGGGATCAGACATTTGGGATAAAACTGGGTCAAGAAAGAGAGAACACAGGAAACTGTACTTACCAGAAGTTTTGGATGATAGAAGCATTTGTCTCAAATTTGGTTTTTGGGGTTTTTTTTTTTTTTGGCATTTGGTTTTCTTGGCTCAGCTATTCCAAGAAAGAGTGTGAAGGGATTTCCCTCCTGAGTGTGCCCTCCTGCCTGTGTCTCCACTTCCCCACAATCCCGACAGCCTCTAGGCAGTGGGAAACGGGGAGCTGCAGGGACTGGGGTGTCCTCCCTGTGATGGTCCTGAGCAGGGGTGGGAGGCAGCTTGGAGAAGGGGTGTTACTGCATCATCCAGCGCTCTGGAAAGAAGATGGGCAGCATTATGCTTTCTTTGTTGGCAGGATGTGTCCATTTCATCTTTGTTTCTACTCTTTTGACATAGACTTGATTTAATTTCCAGTTTTCAGAGATTGTATTTTTTCCCCCCGTCTAGTTACTTACCACATTAGTGTTATTTACTTGCCTCTGAACTGGAGAAAATCATACCAATCTCAAGGGCTACCGAATTAAATAAGAAAATCTGTGTAGAGTACTTGACAGTGGCTGGCACAAATTGGGTGCTCAAAAAAAGGTCTCTGCCCTCCTCTCCTGCACTGTGTCTTGCTTCTCAAAAGTGCTGGAAGGGAACACGGAACAAAGTACTGATTGTCGTGTGGGTCCATCCAGATCTGTTGTCTACCCTGTTTCCTTGGACTCAAGGACACAAATGTCATCTTAAGGCACTTTCAGTTCTTTTCTCATCTACTCTCAGTAATGGTATTCTCCTTGGATTTTAAAAGGGAAATGATTATTATTATTTTTTTTATGTGAAGATGAAACTGTGCTGGATTATAAGAGGCTCAACTTTTAAGACTCTTTTGTATTCAATTCCTGATGTTGGTTTCAGTGAAGTTCTACACCAAGCATGCCCATCCCACAAAAACTCATTCCTTATGCTTCCCCAGGGTCTCTCTCCTTCTTTTTAGATTGCACAAAAAGAGTTAAATTCCCTGGCCTGGCCATGAGTTCAAAGGCACTGCATCACTTGCATACAGAATCATGGTGAACTAAAACTGTCACCCTGCTCTACCCATCCTCTTTTACTACAGTTTTTCTCCACGGCACTTAGCCTACTTGACAGATCATGTGGTTTACTTGCTTCTCTATTTATGGTCAGACTTCCCACTGATAAGAAAGCAATCTCCATAGCGGCAGGGATTTTTTCCTGTTGTGTCTTCAGTACAGAGAACAGCACGTAGCCCAAAGTAAGCACAGTAAATCCTTGTTGTGAGAATGAGTGAATGAATTTTCCTCTCTTATCTTCATGGACTTTCAGCCCTAGTGAACATAGTCCCCACTTCATATGCCTTCCTTCAACATTCACCTCTGACTTTTCCCCAAAGCTGCCTAACAATCCAAGCAGCATGACCTGCTCCCTGCTACTCCAGTATATTTCCTTCTGTTTTATAAACTTTTTTCTTTTTTAATTTTAAAATACATGCTCATATTCAAATTTTGTTGGGCAAAATGTCATATGTGAAAAACAGTGGTTCTTGATTCACCCCTGCTGGATGCTTTTCACTTTTAGTCCTCTTCCCAGCAGCAACTTATTATAAATTTATTTCCTGGTATTTACTTTCATATTTCAATAATATCTTTGTACTGATGCCAGTGAGAGGACTGGGTGCTTCCTACCTGTAACAAAATGAGTACAGAAATTGAAAGTGAGTTTTAGAAACTTTTATAGTAATTTGACGTTGTCACAGTGTCCCAGGTCATGATCATTTTCTTGAAATTCATTTTTATTGTATTTCACAAAAGTATCAGTCTATGATAGGTTTGAAAAAAAAAAACAACTATTCCTTCTCCAAAGGCAGTTTGAGAAGCACCATTCTTGGCCATTGTGCAGCTGTTCTGGGATCTGCCTTAACTACCATATTGTCTTTTCTTTTTTTTCCCCAAGGTTGGGGGGGCATAATTCCCTGAAGCATCCTGAGAAGGAGAGTGGGAGGATGAGAAGTAAGTTCTTTTTACACATTGCTGGTCTGATATCTCAATTTAACTCACAGTTCAATGATAATTTAGCTGGTAAAGGATTCTAGTCAAACGTTATTTTCACTAAAATTTTAATGGTGTAACTCCATCATTTTCCAGCATTCAGTAACCTCCTAAGAAGTTCAATGCCTTTTTTTTTTTTTCTAAAACCTAGTTTGTGACATCTATTTCTTTTGTCCTTGTAAATCTTCGGAGAGTTTTTATCCTCAATACTCTGAAATTTAGTGATTTGATCAAGACTATATCTTTCAGTTCTAGGTAATTTTCTTTTATTATTTCTTTTGTGATTTTCTCCTCAATGTTTTATATTCTTTTTTTCTCCTAAAATTCCTTTTAGTCAAATATTGAAGGTATTGAATTGATGTTTACTTTTTATACATTTTTTTCTCCGGTTCATTTATCATTTTGTTCTCCTTTCAGACTGTGCAGGCTGAGGTGGGAACAGAACCATCTCTTACATAAGTTTTCAACCAATTCCTCTATTTTCAGCCCCTTGCCTCATCCCCACCTCCCATGACATTTTGTGATTCCAATTATCAAGACTGAACACATTTTATAGGTTTAATTGTTTATTTTACAATAGTGTTTCTCTCTGCAAAGACTTCTATTTCAGTTTTTTGCACTTTGCTAAATCAATTTTTACTCCTTTACTTGCTTTACATATTGTAGTTTGAGGTAACAGATGTCTCTGGTTTTATTGAAGTTGGAGATTCTGTTTTGTGCTCTCCTTGCTGTGCTGAGATAAATTCTAAGAGAGGAAGATGCAAAAATGTGTTTTTGTTTTATCTTAAAACCAGGCATCTCTTTCCTCTATTTTGTTTGAATTCAAATCAATATATATCTCCTCCAAGGAGCTTTCTTGAATAACATATTTTCTCAATACCTCTATATTCTATATGCCACTTATCTTTTTATATAAGTATGTGTGTGCATGCACACATATACTTTTATGTTAATAACATACTAAAATAATTTTATATTATTCTGGATTTGTCTATCTATGATTTAGCTTATTTTTAAGCTCCTTGATAGTAGAGACAAATCAACCAAACCAAACAAATAAACAAAAAAACATCCAAACTTATCTGCATATAGTGGCCTATATAGTGCAGTTATTCAAAAGTCAGTGATGTTAGTTCAATAATGGAGAAATGATTTATTAAAATCTTTCTACTCAGTAGTAGTAACCCAATTTCTTCCCATATATCTTAATTTTCCTTATTTGACAAATCTTGCTAAAATCCTTACACATAGTCATTCTTTAGAAGGACATAAGAATGAATATAGTAGAGGAAAAGAAAAAAATTTTGAGAAAATGCGCTTCTGAGAAAAAGTTGGTTACTGTGATTTGACAGAGCTAAGAAGAATGTGCAAATTGTCATAAAATGTTTTTAACTGGTTAGATGCCATCAGTTGAATAAGCTCCTCTTCTGCATAAAGACATTTAAGGAAGCACTTTGGAAGCTTGATAATAAAAGACTGATCTAATGATAAAATGTTTCTATCATTGTCTAAGTGGTTTTGATATTGTGATTTATAAGAAATATATATTTGGTTGTTCAGATGACCAAAATATATTTCTCATATATATTTGGTCTCCCTCCATGGTTCTTGGTTCATAGCTCTCCAAAACCTTTGGAATTTCCAAAGAGTTGAGAGTGATAAAGGTATCTTTTGTTATGTTAGTGAGATGACTTTTGGAAAGCACATAAGGATGTGAGCTGGTTATTTATGGGATCAACCATGTGATTAGAGGATTGAAAGTTTCAGTCCCACCCCTTGACCTCTGGGGAAAGGGGAAGAGCTGGTTGAATCAATTACCAATGGCCAATTATTTAATCAATCATGCCTATCTAATGAAGCCTCCATAAAAACCCAAGAGGATAGGGTTTGGAGAGCTTCTGTGTTGGTGAACACATGGAGATATAGGGAGAGTGGCACACTTGGAAAGGAAGAGAGGCTCCATGCCCTTTCCCCATACCTTGTGCTATGCATCTCTTCCAACTGTCTGTTCCTGATTTATATCCTTTTTTAACAAACTGGTCATCTAGTAAGTAATTTTTTTTCTCTGAGTTCCATGAACCCCTCTAGTAAATTACTTGAACCTGAGGAGGTGGTTGTGGGAACTTCTGATTTGTAGCTAGTTGGTCAGAAGTACAAGTAACAACATGGACTTACAATTGGCATCTGAAGTGGGAAGGGGGCAGTTTTGTGGTACTGAGCCCTTAACTTGTGAAATCTGATGCTATCTTCAGGTAGATAGTGTTGGAATTGAGTTGAATTCTAGGACCCCCAGCAGGTGTTCTGAGAATTTTTTTCTGAGGGAATTCTGAGAATTCCCCCTAGATTGGAATTGGTTCTAGAACCTATCTAATTGGTATCAGTGAAGTGGTATTTGCTAGTGTTACCAAGCAAGGGTTCACTGCCTGATGTGCATAGAAGCCAATAATATGGCACTGCCTTTAGAGAAAATAAAAAGCTTTATTTCAAGAGAGAAGAGGCAAGGCTCTCAAATCCGTCTCTCTGATTCAGGGTTCAGGGTGAAATTTAAGGAATTAGGGGAATTTCAAACTTGGCAGAAGCTGGCTAGTTTCAAATCAGTCCATATATGTTAATCAAGCTACTTGTGCTGCTGGAATATAGTCTCTTTTAATTGTGCTTTGCTGGAACTTTTCATAAGGAATCTCAGATTGAACTTTAAAGGCCTCTTGAGGCCAGAACACCAAGCCAAGGACTCGCCATCAGACACCTCCTGCAAAACCTCTAGATTTGGGTGAATTCCTTTCTTCTCAAGCTTTCCAAAATATCCTGAGGTTCTTGCACCTGCCAGGAAGTGACCTTCTTTACTCACCTGGTAAAGTTGCTGGGAACCATATGAGCAAGGTACCAGACCAATATTTTCAAGTGGCTTTATTTGTTCCATAAAGTTAACCTTTGTTTCTTAAAGCTATCTGGTAATATCACAGTCAGTGTAGTTCTCTCTCAAATATGATATTCCAGTCAAAGCCTTTGGTATTATAACCAATGTTTCCAATTGTGTTCTGTTAAAAGGAGAATAGATTCTTATTGAACTTATACAAATAACTATATTCCCATGACAATAAGAATATTCACTCACTAAGAGTTTCCAAATTCTGGAGGGATAAGGTAGGGAGAAAAAGATAAATGTTTCAATTCTTCTTACAAAAGTATAATTTACCAAATCGCTACAAGTCATAGTTAGCTTAAGAGAAAAGAGAAAAAGGTTCCTTTAAAACTAGAAAAATAAATAATTACAAAAATCAGCAATATTTCAAATAAAAAGTCATAATAATAATCATCATCATCAGTTCACTTAGTCCTGTGTAATCAATTTTTGGTCTTGATTTTATGTTAGCAGTTTTATGAAGCCATTAGTTTCTGTATTAGAGTTCTACAATTTCTTACCCAGTTTGGTTTCATGATCTGAAAGTTTGTCAGAAACCTGTATTCTAGAGTAAAGGTCAGAGTCCTTACCATGAATCTCTCTGAAGATGACATGTGTTTGCAAAAGCATCAGAGCAAAACAATAACTGCCTGTAAATGACAAAAGACTTAAAAATGGCAATTGACAAAGAAGTTTGGTTATTTCTGTGACATACAACATTTTAAGATAATAACTAGAATTATGGCTGATAAACAGGACAGATCAGGATTTTAGGAATGTTATGCAGTTTTTAAAATACTTATATTAATAATATTCACCCAGGAAATATAAACTAAGAGGTCATTTATTTGACAATGTTTCCCATGCAATTTAACATACCAAACAAATCTAATTAGTTTAGCATCTCCCTCTTTATCGGAAGAGAGAACAAATTCTTTGAGAAGTCCCAAGGGCCACTGGAAATTCTTAAGTTAATTTCAGGTCAAAAGAAAAACTTTATTTAGCATTTGGATTTTGAGGATGTTTGCCAAACATATCAAAAGGGTCATAGATTCCTGTGAAACAATGCTTAGTTATCCATTTAACCAAAGTGACAAAAGAAGATGTTAAAGACAAACATAGGGAGTTAAACCATTAAAAACAAATAAACAAAAGAACCCTTAGTTCTCTTAATAGAGAAAGTTCAGCCTTTTTGAACATAGGACTTACTCAAAAGTACAGAAAAACCTTTTACAATCTCTTTATCAAGAGCAGACTAAAAATTCAAGAAAATCATCCTTTGAAGAGAATGAAAACCAAATTCTAATTTTGCACCAACCTACTTTTGATAGTATAACCTATTTACTTAATTAAATTGATTTTAATCTTAGCCAACTTGACCAAGCACAAAACTCTTTCTTCAGGCTTCCTTTTCCACAACCTTCTATAGCTTTCTATTTACATTCAGACTTTGTCCTATGGTCTTCCCTACTATCTGGTAGTTTAGGACAAATTTATCTTTCTTAATAAAACAAACAAAAATATCTCCATTCCTTGTACCTTCTGTACTGAAAACATACATCTTACTTTCCTTCAAAACAAAGGTGTTTTCCTTATTAATTTTTAGTAACCTTAATCATCTGTATTATTAGAATTTTAAATTTTTAGTGAAAACTAAGAAGTAAGCAACTGTGAACTTCTTTTACATTAGCATTCTGTGGCTTGGCAAATTTATAAATACTTTTTATAATTTCTAGAAACATGTTATTTCATAGTACAATCTTTTAATAAAATATAAGACATGTTTACTAATAGACCCAAACATCTTTTAGTTTCTCTGTAATAAGAAGCCAAAAGTAGATAAACCTATATTTAGTCATTAATGTATAATATTTTACCTTATTTGGAAATGATCTAGATAGTCAATGAACTTTCCATAATTTAATTTAACCTAGTAAAACTTCATAGTTTCAAGTTACCAAAGAGATTTTGGAAGTTATTTTAAATACACATGACATGAAATACAGTTATTGCTAAAACTTTATCCATAAACTCTAAATCATTTTCTCCCAACAATTATGTTTGGATTGCCCACAAAAACATCATGAGACATTAGACAAAATTAGCTACCATTCCAAGTTATTGTTTTTGCTGGAAAATTTTGTAGGTGACATGAGCTTATTTGACTAGTAAACCCAGGTAAAATAAAGGCTGTATGTCTGTATAACATCCAATGCTGATAACTCTGATGGCATGCCTATTCAATCAAACCAACAAACATAAATAAGCTTTTATTTACCAAAGATTATTTCATATCAAGTTAACTTGGAAAAAATTTGAATTAGTTTCTATTACACTTAGAAATAATTTGTATAAGCACATACTTTAACCCAATTAAATAGAGCTCTTAATATTGGCCATACCATCTGGAGGCAGAAAAATATCTCACATTTACAACATATATATATAGACATGCGTGAACACACAGACAGACAGAGACCTTATAGTGTTCGTTAAATTTTTGCTCTGAACCAAGTACAATACAAAACTCACTATTTTATAAAAGAATAGTTGGATCCAAATTTTTAGCAATTAGAAAGAGTTAAGTTCACCTGCTAAATCTTTTTACTAGTATTTGTGGAGAGGACATTTAAGATTTTTTGGGGTCAAATTTCCAAATATTTCCTTTCCTTTTTTGCAAGACAATGATAGTTGCTTTAAATTTCTCAAATACTTGGGTTGTAGCCTGAATGATATCAAAAGGCTGATCCACTCATCTAACTACATTTTGTTTAATTTCCTTCTACATATAACATGAACCAGATTCCTAAAATTACAGTTCAGGGCTGGATTACCAGGAGCACCTCACAAGTAAACCTTTTATCCTATCTCGAGTTTTCTTGGGTCTAGGCCCAAGATTTGAGGCTCAGTCTGCCAGGATTTCCCAGAATACAAGTCAAACTTATATCTTCAGGGGATCAAACCAGAGAGATGAGGTAAGATACAACTGCTTTCTAAAGGTTACTCACTCAGAGACATCTAATCCAGAAGCAGTTTCTTTTTGCAAAAGTGAAAGAAGTGCTAAGGAGCCTAGAGCACCATGGTGGGAAACAGGAAACCAACCAGCCCAGCCTCTAGACAAAGTAGTCTAGGTGACTGCTTGGGGTCGGTGATGACAGGCTGCACCATGCTGAGGACTGCAGAGCCTTGGGCAGGTGGTCACAAGACCACGATCCCTTCGTGGTTGCCAGAAATTGTTACCAAGCAAAGGCTCATTGCCCAATGCACATGGAAGTCAATGCTATGGCACTGGCTTTTCAGAAGAGAAAAGGCTTTATTGCAAGGTCAACTGGCAAGGAGACAGGAGGCTAGGCTCTCAAATCTGTCTCTCCAATCCAGGGTTCGGGGTGAAATTTCAGGAGTTAGCAGAATTTCAAACTTGGCAGAAACTGATTAACTAGTTTCAGACCAATCCATATATAGTAATCAAGCTACTTGGGCTGCTGGAAGATGGATTTTCCTTATTGAAGGATTTCTTGCTTTGTAAAGGTCTCTAGTGACAACATTTCTGAAGATTCTTGGTTCTGGGGTCATCCTGGGGCTGTGGGTTCCCGCCTGCCACACACACAGTGCTGTCTCTGTTGTTGCAATGTTTTACGTGCTGTTTCACTAGAATGGCCCTGGCTCACAAAAACACGTGGTTTGGGAAGGGAAAGGATGAAAAGGTGGGGGATGGAGACCCTTTGATTCCAGAGTGGCCATGTGGTCTTCCACGGTATGGAACAGCAGCTGTGCCGCAATCAGTTACTAAAGGTAAAAATTACCAACAGAATTTAGAGATGGAGCCAACTCCTGGGGCGTTGGTCCACTGGATGCATAAGGAAATGCAGCCTAATAAGAAAAAGGCAAAATTTTCCAATTCCTTGGTTATTGTCTGTAATAGCTAAAATGAAAGTAAAAGAAAGGTTGATATTGGGCCTTGATACTAAATCAAGGTCAGATTTGGGTCAATCTGAGCCTTAGTCACTAGTCTTAAGTCGCCTGGAAAGGGAAAAGTTGTACAGGAACAACAGAAAGTACCCCTAAGACCTCTGATCACCAAGAAAGTAGTCAACGTGGAGAGGGAGCAAAACTAAGAAACTATTGAATCAGAGACTATAGGGTGAAAGAATTGTTTCATTCTGCAGATCGATATCATGAGTTTCCTGAAGATCTTTTACCAAAGTGGATCATGAGAGTAGCCAATTCGGGGCTATGTCTTTGGTTTTGAATGCTGCAGAGTAAAGTGCATGTTCGGGTTGATACAAGACCCATAGCTCAGTATTGAACAATAACAGATGGCTGTACGTGGTCTAGACACACAGGCAGCTATTCCCAAGGGTATAGCCAGCCTGGTGGACTGGATAAAAGCCACTGTAATGTCTGTTTATCCTGAGAAGGAGGACTATCTGTCTTCCGCTATAAACACCAAGTGGAATACATCAGATGAAGCATCTGATATCCTTTATATGCAAGCCATGTGGGACTGACTTTATGATGATCGAGACATTCACCCACAGAATATGCCCGTTACCCAGGTCCTGGTAAATGCTGTAGTTAAGAGGGCCCTTTCACATGGGCCATCCTATTATATATATTATATATATTATAATTATAATATTATGTATTGCAAAACCAAAGAATAGTTAGTTTGGAAAACTTTATTTAATTTGCTGTCTCAGCTTCCCCTCTTATAGATGGAGGGTCTTACAGATGCTAATGAGAACATTAAGCTAATGAACAAGAGAAGGGGAAAAGGCCAGGGGAGAAATAAGGGACTCTTTCCAACAAGGCAGAAATTTTTTAAAGATTATTAAGAAATAGGATGAATAAAACCAAAAAGGGACCGACCTCGTGGCCAAGTGGGTAAGTTCATGCACTTTGCTTTGGTGGCCCAGGGTTTCGTTGGTTTGGATCCTGGGCGTGGACGTGGCATTGCCCTTTAGGCCATGCTGAAGTGGAGTCCCACATGCCACAACTAGAGGGACCTACAACTAGAATATACAATTATGTACTGGGGGGATTTGGGGAGAAAAAGCAGGAGAAAGAAAAAGAAATAGCGTGAATAAAGCCAATATTTATAGAAGTGAACCAAAAGGAAATAGAGAGGAGAAAGTCACAGGACTCATCCCTGCAGGGTGGAAATCTTTAAATGTTTATTAAAAAATGGGATGAATAAAATGCACATTGATGGGGTTAAAACACAAGTTTTAATACAGCCTTACCTAAGGTAGGATGCACCAAAGGGACTCCTTGCTGGTACTCCAACATTAAAAGGCCCCAAACAAATCTGCTCTATTTACCGTAGTTTGGAGAAATTTTCTCTTAGGACTGATTCTGGAACTGCATGAGGAGAGGCTGGACTCTGTTGTCACTTGGACAGTGCCCCGTATACAGATTTCGACTGATGACAAAGACCTATTTGTGGATGGCAGTTCCGTGGTGAATAGACAACATCCTGTTTGGAAGGCCACCACTCTCATCGAAGGAGGTAAAAACAAATCAGCTCGGTGGGCTGAATTGCATGCTGTTTTCCCAGCAGTGATGGAAGAACTGAACAGTGGTAAAAGCCTTCATATTTGGCTTTTTACTGACTCATAGGCGGTGGCCAACGGCCTGGCCATATGGTTAGGCAGGAGAGCAATTGAAATCTGGCCTATTAAAAGGATGCCCTTAAGGGGCATGGCCCTATGGAAATCACTAGGATATTTGAGTAGTGCATTCAAGTAGGACCTGTTGATACCCATCTGAAGAACTCCCTTCCAGGTATGGAAAGCGATTGGAATCGACAAGCAGATATTCCCCTGTTCTATCTGAAGATGACCACCTGGGTTCTGAAATGAGTGGATTTGGGGGCACAACAGCAATGCAGAGATGCTAAATCTAGATTTATTCCTATTACACCCTTTAAGGCACAAAATGTCATTCAGAACTGTTTTGTCTGCCAGTAAGAGACTGAGACTGCAGATGGCCATGTGACAGAGTCCCTGTTGGGAAGGCCCTGAACAGAGCTGGCGTGTGAGACTGATGCTGGTAGCCTTGGGGGCTTCAAGTGGGGCTTGTCAGAAGATATTGCACAAATTTGGAGAGTTAACCATCATTTCTTCCAGCCCCTAATGTCCAACAGTGGGTAGAGAGATATACTCCTCAGACTGATAGTTTGATAGAGAATTGGAATGAGTAATTAAAACATTTGGTTGTCTAAAATGGCAGGAAATAAAAACATGAAGGGCTGGCTTACGTGTCTTCATGAGTATGTGTTCATGCCCAACGTGAACATGAGTGGGGCTAAAAGAGTGTTCCCACTGGATAGGTTTCTGTTCTTTCTCATGGATGTGAGGAAGCAGGGAAGGTGCTGATATATTTTCTTCCCCATATCACCTCAACTTTTTTTTCCCTACTTGATGCAGTGGTCATAAGATCAGGGCTGCAATTACAAGGGCTGGAAGCAGGAATAATTTCTAAGCAAGAAACTCTAGGTTTTTAACCTTTATGTCAGAATTCCTAAGGGCCTGATGGGGCAGGGTGTGCCTTCACCTCATCTGGCAAATTAGGCTGCCAGTGAATGCAGCTGTTTTGCCCAGTAGTGAAGGTCTCCCCTCAGATCTGTACCTGTGTGACCTCACCTTATCTGAACAGAAGTGCACTGAGGGGGAGGTATTTGCTAGACTAGTATTGCTGCCTGCAATGTAGCCCAGCACAGTAGCTGAACCTAATGTCCCTTCCAAAGGTGGAAAAGTTTGTGTACAAATGGAGATAAGAAAAAAATAGTAGCTGAGGGTAAAGGAATGAATAAATGAGTTATGTGACAAGGGAAACCAATATTACATTTACAACTACAAAGAGGCTCAGAGCAAGAGATGATATTGCCTTTTAGTTCAATTATACCAGATGCCTGAAAGAGTGAAGTTTATTATTGTTTTTCTTCTTATTATTTTATATTTACCCCCTGTTGAACTGATCACTTGTGCCCAGGTACCATTGTGTACCCTGTCTATGCTTTGTTAGGCTTATTCACTTATGAATCTCTCTCCCCTACTAGACTGTTAACTCATTGAGAGAAAGGATGATGTTTAATAATTCCTGTATTCATAGACCAAGAACAAAATGATTACTTAATAAATACTTATGTGCAAATGAGAGAGAAATTATCCAGACGAGTATACTAAATTTGTTTATAAGAATACTCCTTTTATCATAAGGGAAAGTTATACATGAAAGGGTAAGACTGACATGACCCTATGCACATTGGATCCTATTTTTGAATCATCATTTCCCTAAATTCCTTAAAGAAATTTAGAAGAAGAGTCTTTTGTTTCTCAAGTGCATAATAATCACTGTAGCTGATGATTTTTCTTTCTTTCCTCAAGTAGACTGATTGCTTTTGTTTCCCTTAGAGACAAAATCATCAGGTTCCTATTGGCTGGTAGCTGTGGCTTATGAAATGAAACTACAAACTTAACAGTAATGAAGACTGAAAAATGTGATATTTGCATTTCTGTGAACACTCAGAAATGATGAATGGAAGACTTGACCATACGCCGTAGGTTTGGGGTCACTTTCCCTCTTTTGGCTGTACTTTCTGTGAGGTACAGATGCAAAGGAAAACTCACAAAGTGATATTCCTTGTAATATTTTCTCTGCCCAAGAAACATTTTGCAAATACAGTTTGGCAGACATGTGACTTCTACCAAAACCAAATTCTGATCCTACTGCCAGAAAAGCTTGGCCAGTGCTTCTTCACACAGATGGACAATGTTTACCCATAGCATACCTGATTGCTCTATCATCTACCCACAAAATACACTGCTTCTTCCACATAGACTGTGGTTTCCAAGGCAACAGAGAGCTCCTCTAACAATGAAAGCACACACAAGTTGATTTCCATTTCTACACGCCAAGTCCTAACCACTTTCTCCAGCCATAGTGCTTATGTTTTCCAACAGGAAGGCAGAGCTGAGAATGAAATACTAATAGTCAAAAAGAAAATTTGAGTGTGTCAGCATAGTTAGGTGCTATAAAGAAGAAAATGTTGTTTAACAGACTTATAGAAAAGGGTTTATGGGGATCATTTGGGTAGAGGGTGAAATACAGAGAAGATGTAAGTTATGGCTAACCTTAAAGGACACCAGTAATGTTGGGGGAGAGAAGACTCATCTTTCCTCCACAACTGAAGTCTTTTGATAAACTAAGTCTCCAGTTCTTCCTTTGCAGGCAAGTTTGTTGAAAACTATTTCCGCCTTCTCATTTTTCCATTCATTCTAGAACTCATCACATTCTAGAACCCATTGTCTTAAAATTCCCTTGCAGGGCCACCCTAGTCCTTCTAGAAGCCAAATTCAGTGGTCACATGTCCATGCTTATACTCTTATTGATCATCCTTCCAGCCTGCCTCTCCCTTCTCCCTTTCCCAGGAAACTACTCTTTCCCAATTCTCCTCCACCTTAAAGCTCTCACATTCTCCTTTGCAGCAGGCTCCTCTTCCTCTACCGATGCCTTTACCATCAGCCTTTTTCTCTTGTAATTCTACATTTCCCTCTAGGCAATCACTTCTAAACTTGCTTGCTCAGTAGAATCATTTGAGGATCTTGTAAAAATTTCAAAGCTCAGGCCACAGTGCAGCCCAGTCTCTGGGGGTGCGATGCACCAGTGTATTTTGAAATTCAGGATGTTCTAATGTGCAGACAAGTTTGGGAAACCACTGCCCTAGAATGGTCCCTCTCCTCTTAATTAACTCCAGATTAGCTGACACTCAATATGCTGCTAGGCTCGTGTCTTTTCCAGGACTAATCACATCTGTGACATATATTCAGTTAGCTTTTCTTGAAATTATTCAATATTGTCTTATTATTTCAGGATAAAATTTTTTAAAAATGTTACCAAGACATTGCCAGGCTCTGTTTCCCTTCAAAGACCCATCTCAAACCATTCTTCTGTCATGTTGGAAGCTTTCCAGCACATTCCTGCCCCTTTGGAACAGTCCCCTTCATCTGGTCAATTCCAACTTGTCCTTCAGCACTCAGCCCAGACATTTCCCTAACGCCTCCTCCTCCCACTGCATGGTGAGTTTTGTTGAACATAGCTCCTACTTCACTTGTATCTTTTTATTGGTTTATCTTGTGGCAGACTGGAATTTATTTGAGGACAGAATATTTGCTTTTCACTTTTCTACACAGACTGTGGAGTGCCTTGAGCACACTGAATATTCAGTGATCAATGAATAAATAAATAAAAAACATGAGGGTTGAAAATTTTTGTATTGAAGCCGTATTCAGAAAGAGTCTAATCAGATTTACTTCTTCAGGGAGAGAGGAAAGCCACGAAGCCATAAAGTTTCCACATAGCTTTTCTGCAGGTGCCTGAGTGTTCTTCCTTTCTCATGCTCCCTCCTTGCTCATCTGGCAAGTGGAGCATCTGGGAAACACAATCCAGGTGCAGAAATCAATTTTCATGTCTTTTGAGAATCACCCTGGACACTGCCTCAAGCAGCTAAAAGTCAGCAAAAGTTGTTGTGCCATCAAGGAGCTGTTCCAATAGCTAGATATTACTAGCAGCCACCTGCTAGCAAGAGGCTTGGGCAACTTTGGGGTCAGAAAGGGATCTGGTGGTGTATATTTGGCACAGAAGGCCAAGAGCCCCCATCACTTACCAGAGAGAGGGAATGTGTATTTTTAAAGGAAAAAACTGACAACCAAGAATACTCTATCCATCAAGGCTGTCATTCAGAATGGAAGGAGAGATAAAGAGCTTCCCAGACAAGCAAAAATTAAAGGAGTTTATCACCAAGAAACCAGTTCTACAAGAAATGCTGAAGGGACTTATTAAAGTGGGAAAGCAATGACCACAAATAGAGATAAAAGAAAAAAAATTATCAAAAAAACCCAAAACAACAACAAGAAAAAACAGGCAATAAAATCACTTGTAAGGTAAAAGTATAGTAAAGGCAGCAGATCAACTACCTGTGAAGGTAATATGAAGGTTAAAAGACAAATGTACTAAAATTACCTCTTTCAATGATAAGAGGGTAATGGACATACACACACTAAACAAAAGACTATATATGATGTGAAAAACATATAACATGGGAGGACAGGAGTGAAAAAGTAGAGCTTTTAGAAAGAGGTCAATAGACTGTTATATGCATAGTATATTAAATAGGATCCTCATGGTAACCACAAACCAGAAACCTATAACAAGCAGGAAAAAAAGTAAGACAAAAGAAATCAAACATATTACTAAAGATAGTCATCAAACCACAAGTGAAGAGAGCAAGAGAAACAGAAAGGAACTGAGAAGAACTACTAAAACACCCCAAAAAAAGAAAAAGTGACAAAATGGCAATAAATACATATTTATCAATAGCTAGTTTAAATGTCAATGGACTAAATGCTCCAATCAAATGCCATAGGGTGGCCAACTGGATAAAAAAACAAGATCCATGTATATGCTGCATACAAGAGACACACTTCAGACCTACAGACACTCACAAACAGAAAGTGAAAGGATGGAAAAAGATATTCCATGCAAATGGCAAAGAAAAGAAAGCGGGGGTAGCAATACTTATATCAGACAAAATAGACTTTAAATCAAAAACTGTAATAAGAGACAAAGACGGGCACTACATAATGATAAAGGGAACAATCCAACAAGAAAATATAACACGTGTAAATATCTACACACCCAACATAGGAGCACCTAAATACATAAAGCAATTATTAACAGACATAAGAGGAGAAATAGACAGTAACATAATAATAGTAGGGGACTTTAACACTCCACTTACACCAATGGATAGATCATCCAAACAGAAGATCAATAAAGAAACACTCGCCTTAAAGGACACATTAGACCAGATGGACTTAGATATATACAGAACATTCCACCCAAAAACCACAGAATACACATTCTTTTCAAATGCCCATGGAACATTCTCCAGGATTGATCACATACTGGGCCACAAAACAAGTCTCAATAAATTTAAGAAGATAGAAATAATACCATGCATCTTTTCTGACCACAAAGGTATGAAACTGGAAATCAACTACAGAAAGAAAACCAGAAAAGCCACAAAAATGTGGAGATTGAACAAAATGCTACTGAACAATGATTGGGTCAATGAAGAAATCAAAGAAGAAATAAAAAAATTCCTGGAGACAAATGAAAATGAAAACATGACATGCCAAAATCTGTGAGATACAGCAAAAGCAGTTCTACGAGGGAAGTTTATAGCAATTCAGGCCTACCTCAACAAAGAAGAAAAATCCCAAATAGGCAATCTAAAAGTGCACCTAAAGGTACTGGAAAAAGAACAACAAACAAAGCCCAAAATCAGCAGAAGGAAGGAAATGATAAAAATCAGAGCAGAAATAAACAAAATAGAGACTAAAAAAAAAAAAAAAAATAGAAAAGATTAATGAAACCAAGAGCTGGTTCTTCAAAAAGATAAACAAAATTGACAAACCCTTAGCTAGACTTATTTATTTGAGAAGGCTCAAATAAATAAAATCAGAAATGAAAGAGGAGAGATTACAACAGACACCTCAGAAATACAAAGGATAATAAGAGAATACTATGAAAAGCTACACACCAACAAATTGGATAATCTAGAGGAAATGGATAAATTCTTAGAAACATACAACCTTCCAAAACTGGACCAAGAAGATGTAGAAAATTTGAATAGACCGATCACCAGTAAGGAGATCGAAACAGCAATTAAAAACCTCTCAAAAAATAAAAGTCCAGGACCAGATGGCTTCCCTGGTGAATTCTACCAAACATTCAAAGAAGACCTAATACCTATCCTTCTCAAACTCTTCCAAAAAATTGAAGAGGAGGGGAGGCTTCCTAACTCCTTCTACGAAGCAAACATTATCCTGATACCAAAACCAGACAAGGAGAACACAAAAAAAGAAAATTACAGGCCAATATCACTGATGAATATCGATGCAAAAATCCTCAACAAAATACTAGCAAATCGAATACAACAATACATTAAAAAGATCATACATCATGATCCAGTGGGTTTCATTCCGGGGATGCAGGGATGGTTTAACATCCGCAAATCTATCAACATGATACACCACATTAACAAAATGAAGAATAAAAATCACATGATCATCTCAATAGATGCAGAGAAAGCATTTGACAAGATACAGCATCCATTTATGATAAAAACTCTAAATAAAATGGGTATAGAAGGAAAATACCTCAACATAATAAAGGCCATATATTACAAACCCACAGCAAATATCATTCTCAATGGAGAAAAACTGAAAGCTATCCCTCTAAGAACAGAAACCAGACAAGGATGCCCACTGTCACCACTCTTATTTAACATAGTATTGGAAGTCCTAGCCAGAGCAATCATGCAAGAAAAAGAAATAAAAGGGATCCACATTGGAAAAGAAGAAGTGAAACTATCACTCTTTGCAGACGACATGATTTTATATCTAGAAAACCCTAAAGAGTCCACTAAAAAACTTTTAGAAATAATAAAGGATTACTGTCAAGTTGCGGGATACAAAATCAATGTACAAAAATTGGTTGCGTTTCTATACACTAACAACGAAGCAGCAGAAAGAGAAATTAAGAATACAATCCCATTTACAATTACAACAAAAAGAATAAAATACCTAGGAATAAACTTAACCAAAGAGGTGAAAGACCTGTACACTGAAAACTATAAGACATTGTTGAAAGAAATTGAAGAAGACACAAAGAAATGGAAAGTTATTCCATGCTCTTGGATTGGAAGAATTAACATTGTTAAAATGTCCATACTTCCTAAAGCAATCTATAGATTCAACGCAATCCCTATCAAAGTTCCAACAACATTTTTTACAGAAATAGAACAAAGAATCCTAAAATTTCTATGGAACAACAAAAGACCCCGAATAGCCAAAGGATTCCTGAGAAAAAAGAACAAAGCTGGAGGTATCACACTCCCTGATTTCAAATTATACTACAAAGCCATAGTAACCAAAACAGCATGGTACTGGCACAAAAACAGACACACAGATCAATGGAACAAAACTGAGAGCCCAGATGTAAACCCACACGTTTATGGACAGCTAATATTTGACAAGGGAGCCAAGAGCATACGATGGAGAAAGGAGAGTCTCTTCAATAAATGGTGTTGGGAAAACTGGACAGCCACATGCAAAAGAATGAAAGTAGAGCATTCCCTTACACCATGCACAAAAATAAACTCAAAATGGATTAAAGACTTGAATGTAAGACCCGAAACCATGAGACTT